ATTTAATATAATTTTATAAACAAAACTTATTTGCACATTTGGCTATCTTGGTTCTTTCATAGACTATAAAAAATCTCAAAGTTGTAAATATGTTAGAAAATACTATTTCAGTCCTTCTACTTTAAAAATTCATGTTTAATTCAATGTTACTTGCCATTTCTTTGTATTTGTGAAATATACTAGCAATGTCTTTTTTTTACACCATTGTGAGCAACTTTTTTTCCTTTTTAAAACACATTTACATACATATGCACAGAAAGAAAAAACTAGATAGAGGTTATTGCAAACATTTGACCCATTAAAGAATTTCACCCAAGGGGAAATTCTGCTTTACAGTCTCGCTCTTGTTAGCTGATCAAAACTACTGCCAGATTATTTATGCTCTACAGATGACAGCAAAGCCACAAGCACATTCCACTGGATCATGCACCCTCTTTTACAGAAGCAGGAAGAAATAACTGAAGCTACTAAGGGTTTTCTTAATAACACAACTGCTTGTTGACACCACCTTAAAATTACAGGCCTTTAAATACATCAGTAAATCAGATTTGACTGTAAATCTGTTGCATCTATACTCAATATATTTCAGATGGCTGTAGCTGTGTTTCAATTCTATGGATGGCAATCACACAATGTCACACTACTACCACAGAAAGGACAAGCAACAACATCCACTGTCCAAATCCAAAGTCATTCTATGAACCAGCACATCTATGAAAGATTTGCTACTACTGTCATTATTATCACTTTAGTCTACGTTTAAACATTCCCAATCCCCAAAAAATAAATATTGAAAGCCCAAAGCAGTGCTTCAGGTGAGATGAGCATCAACAATTATATATGGCATTACCATCTTGCAGATTATGTTAATGAACAATAACGGGAACCTGTGTTAGTATCATTGATATACTATTATATTTTTTTTTCATATTTTGAATTAGATTATATTTTAAAATTTTGTTTTAAATTTATTTTTAGTTACAGTTTTAATCTTTTTTTTTAAATTTTTTTTTTAATTTTTTTTTTGTTATAGTTTTTATCTTTTTTTTTTTTTTTTTTTTTTTTTAGTTCATTTTAGTTTATATTTATTAGTATACTTGTTTTATACTTCAAGTAAAACTAAACTAATATGAGAAATGTTGCCTAGGCAACTAGCTGAAATAAAATAAGTTTAAGGTTTTTTTAATATTTTATTTTATTTCAGTTAATGTTTATTTTGTTTCAAGCAACAAAAATGTTTTCTATGGTATTAATTTTCGTTAACAATGATAGCCCTTACAGGAACACTACCTGCCTGTAAAGTTATACCACCACTGCAATTGTCAGTAACTAATATTTGCAATTGACACTTACTGATGGAAACTGTAAAGGAAATAAATGTTGCTGTGAGAAAGTTGTAGAGCGGGTTGCGGCACATTCAGGTGAAAGGGCTGAACATAGGATTCTGGGTAACATGATATTTAACATTTGAAGGCCTGGTATTTAAAGCTGCAACCTAGGTAAAGCTATAACCTAGGCATTTGACTTTAGCTGCCAGTTCACCACTTAATAAATGTGCAGATACACAAAGCCATATAAACTATTTAAATTCACCTTAGCACCTTTCGCCAACATTTTACCATTTTTCAGAACAGAATAAGTAATATTGGCTCAATAAAGACACCTTCACTCTTAAAAATAAAGGTTCTTTATTGGCATCTATGGTTTCATGAAGAACCTTTAACATCCATGGAACATCTCCAGTACACAAAAGGTTCTTTAGATTTTTTATTTGTTTTTCACACCAAGAAAAAAACTGAAAAAAACCTCTTCATTAAAAGGTTCTTTAGCGAAACAAAACTTGCTCTTCTGTGGCATCACTGTGAAACACCTCTTTTGGAACCTTTAATTTAAGAGTGTAAAAAGAAAACCATTTGATCGGGTATAAACAGGATTGACCAACAGAAACTCATGACCTGCAACCCATTATGTGTCCCACTCTCTTTTTGTTCTCATTTACATGGCCATGAAAGTCAAATCCAGCCTAAAATAAGTTTACCTGGCTGACCTGTCTCCTACAGTAAACTACCCCCCCTCCACCCCCAGCCCCCTTGCTTTAATTAGGTAGTTTATAGAAGCTCCCCTAGAAGGACACCTCTTCTGGAATAGCAACTGCCATTCGATCGTACTCATGACTTTCTTCACCCCCCATTTCCCACCTCCACCCTCTTCCACACCCCTACCGTGTGCCTGAAGAATGTGCACACCTATCTGAATCCCTCAGGTTTTGCACTATGCATTAGGCTTTAGGTGACATACTATTCAGCACACACAATTTATTTTTACTAAGCAGACATCTTATAAAATAATAATAATAATAATAATAATTACTAGATAGGCCTAGTAGGCCTGGACTACATTCACCATGGCTCAAACTGATGACTATACAGGCATGAAGAGCAGAAAAGGATCCCTTAAGAGTTGTGGGGGTGCGACAGAAATGAAACAACAATATTCCGCGTGTTTTAGAATCACTCGCTTCTCTTTCGCAAAACTCAATGGTCCACTTGGCTTCCCTTGCAGGATCTGACACATTAGTTAACAGACACTAGAAAACAACTTAAGTAATACAATACTGTAGAGATGCAGTCTCCCCATCTAATAAACTAGTCTCAGGATTGAACTAATAAATGGCATGCGACCAAGAAACCAAAGCACAAGGATGTTAAGGACTCAACAGTAATTCACTGAAGCAGGTAGGCTTAAAGGAATAACAAACCACAGTAATATTTAAATGCAAGGAAGGCTGTGTTATCAGCACTGAGTGAGGTCTTTTTGAAGAGAATTGTGCAGCATGACAGTTCTATAAGGACAGAACGCCTCACATTCAGGTGCAAAAACACTCAAGCTTTATTTAGACCCCCTTAGGTTCCACAACAGCCACTAGGCTACCTTGGGTTCACATTAAAAAATACATTAACAATATGACAAGAACAAAACATTTTATTCACCCTACAGTGAACATTAAAAATTACACATATTGCTTCTGAAACTTAATTGTATCAGTAATTGGAATACAAAGGACCAAAACAAAGGTTTGCGGAGTAGTTTATTTTTTTAAATGGTTGTTTTGACTAGAAGAAACTGCTGTCACATTCCACAAGAACGGTTTTCTCTGATTTTTTTGTTTAAAGCATTAAAGGCATTAATGCATGTTTTTGTTGGAAGACCTATTAAATATGTCTGACAAACTATTATCGGACATAAAATGAATCTAGAATGAAAAGTATCTAGTCTACTTTCACAAATCAACTTAAACCACATTAAATTACAACATGGTTGCAAAGATTGACATAAAAAAAATTAAAAAAACGAACTATACAATTTAGTTTGACATCCTGTGGATCCTGACCAACGTTTTTGAAGGTTAAGCACCATTAGGTAATTTTTTTACCCTATTCATGGAAAGTGCCAGTTTCTCCAAACTGAAACTCTCAAAGCTATAATGTGAGTTTCAGTCTGGTGCTAAATGCACTCAGCGAGAAAGAAACATGTTTGTGCCCTCAACGGGATGTAAATAAATCTACAGGGTCATCATGTTAAATCCTTGCTTATTAATAAACACCTCTCACATTTAGCATCAGTCATTTAACTAAAATCAACAGATGATGATGAACAAACTGCTTGGATTAATGGGTTGGGGACAGAATGGGCCCTGTATTTTTAGTTGTAGAGTCTATTTGCGGCTCTCAGTGCTACTTAACCACTTCCGTCTATTCTGAACACTGACTGTCCCCTGTAACATACTGTTGCCTCATCTGCTCAGCTGTTACTGTCACTTTGGTGTAGTTTTGCATAATGTAATATAGCTACTGTCATATATTCATGATAGTTGCTTACATCAATGACCGTTTCTGGTTTCCTAATTTAAATCTAATCTAATTTACTGAAGCTAATTATTTGCAGTAATACTAACATTATAACAATTATTTTCAAACCAATGGGTATACGTTGAAATTAAAGATGAATACAAAACTATTCAACCACTTTAGCTGCTTAAGTCACCGAGGTAACAGCTGATTGGTCCGTGTTGCTGAGCGGTGTATGGCGTGGAGATTTGACGCTTGTGTCTAATTTAAAATTAATTCATGAAAATTCTGAGATTTTACATCCCAATACTGTTTTTTATTCCATATGGTAGGCCTACTCACCCATTAAAAACGAACAATTATATATCTTTTTTTTTCTGTCTGTAGATCAATATTTAAATTAATTCACTTTACGTAGACCTCACAAGAAGTGAGCACAAAAAGCACTCGTGAGTTCTTACCTTCCGCTGCTGCTTCTCCCAGGCCGGGTCCAGTAACAGGTCGCGATCCCAGTCATCCTCTTGGGTCATGTATTCCCCAGTCGTAGTCATCATGTAAGAACTGTATTGCACATGCGTTTCAATCGCTGTCATTTTTCCGTCTTCCGTGGGGTGCTTGGTATCCCCTCAACCTATACAACCTTATGTTTTACCTCTTAATTCAACATACACGCCCCGTGCCGTACAATCAGAATCCCGTGTGGGTTTGGAGAGAGAAGACAAACCCCTGCCTGCGGTAACTGCTCCCACCGGCCGATGAGCTGACAGCTGGTGCTCAAACTCAACAAGTAACGGGACGCAATATGAGTGACTGACTGCTGCAGTATTTGGGCACAACTTCATTTCCTAAAAGGTAATGGGCGGGATTTGGGAACGGTACAGAATGAACATTAGATCCAAGTACTGAGTTTGAGTGTTAGGTAAACAAAGGACGTTCATTCAGCATAATTAAAATCATAGGACCAGAAAGTAAAGCAAATCTGGTCTCACTTGTAAGGTTTCACTCACATGCAAAAGACTTAAGTCCCTGGGTTGTTAGATAAAATGACTATGCTGTTGATTATGCATTTAGATTTGTATAAAATGTTAACCTATTTCAATTGAACATGAAAATAAAGAATTAAAAAAAGAAAAAAACAACAAGACCACATAATATGATTTAAGCATCATTTATTGAACTTTACAAGAAGAAAATACAAATATCATGGCACTAAAGCCAGTTTGCAAATAAAAAACATTAGGATTAAGATCCCTCTGACACTGACAATTACATACACCACAATGAAAGTTGCCCATTCAGACCTAGAAAAAAAGATCAATGATACTCGAACATCCCTGAATCACTGAGTTTTTCAGTTCTTGATAATCTACAATCATAGTTTATCTACATGTAATTCTCCACTGTTCAGCTTTTCAAAGCATTTCTAAATCGGAGATGAAGCTGTAGGTCATTGGAAGGTTGACTGAAAATCAATATGCACAATTGTAGAGTGTTCAATTCTAAAATTTAAATGAGATTTGAGGTTAAAGCCTTTTTGAAGATTAGATGAATTAACAAACTTGTGATATTAAAAAAATAATGCCAATCACAAACAGGAATGTGTTTTAAGTAATGTTTGGAGTGACTGAATAGGCTTACCTTTAACAAACACTCACCAATTCTTTTTTCTGACATTCATAGCAGACTGTCCCTAGGTTAAACTGAAAAACATTTGTTACTTCTTGCTTATGGACATACAAAAGCATGCTCAATTCCTACGCTGAGAGAATTGAAAAATAAATCCCTATAATAGTCAGAAGTCTAAATTTGGCAGGAAAACAGATGAACCCTTCTTTCAGAGTTAAAACTGAAATCAGAGTGTTGCACTGGGATCTATGATCTTGTGAGGCTGAAATGGTGGCAGTAGGCATAAAGTTGAGGTGGATGTGAGCTGGACGCATTAGTTACTCACCTACAAGACCATTGCCCTACTTTTGGTCATCTCTGCACCCTTCTTAAGTACTCAAAGCATAGTTGGAGCGCCTCATCTCGCCAACTGGAAGTGCTTCAAAAAGACTAAATGCCAGAGAACAAGCCAAGGCAAATGTAAACCATTCTTCCCTCTTAATTGTTAGAAAAAATGCTTGGAAATTCATTTCCAGCTCATTTTGAAAGCATACTGCGAGAAAATAAACCTCAAAGTCACTAAAACCTTTTAGCATGAGAATTTGGGGCCAAAAGAGTCAGTATAAATATGAATAATCGAAGTAGAAAAGTTTTTTTTTTTGTCCAAATACCAAACCATGAGCATTTTGGGAAGCTGAAAGAGGTTATTCTACAACTCCAGGCTGTTAAAAAAACAAAGCAATTCCCCCTCAGTAGGCACTGATCCAACCACATAACAGAAAACAAGTGCCACTCCCTTTGTGTTGACTGTATTGTCAGTATAAACTGATGTTGGCCTGATCTGAGCTTCTCCAAGCAGCTGTGCTAGAATCATGGGGAAGTGTATAATCGAGGTGCAGGCGTGGTTGGGGGCAAATGGCTTTACCTTAGTGGGGAGCACATCCGAGGCATTGTGGGGCGCTAATTCTCTTCCCCCGTCATGCTCAACTTGGCGTCCTGAGGCCCGGGAGCCATTATAGCTGTAGTTAGCGAAAAGGGAAAATGTGGCTGGAACAGCAGTAATAATAACAAGAAACATGCACTATTTATAATAATACAAAACAGATCAAACAATTTACTGTGTAGAATAATTTGTGTGGAGCTCTGGTGTGCTGCAAAAAGCTACACCGTCACCACCTGTCCATCTGCATTCTATCATATATCAAATTGAGAAAATTAACACTACAGTGGATGTTTGCCTGTGAGGTTTAAGAGATGAAGTCGAATGTAGAGTGGTGAAATTATGGTGAAATTAAGTGTTCTAAGTGAGATTTGTGCGTGTACCCCACCATATTTCTTTGGAATGAAAGACTGAAGACTGCCTGAGGGGCATTCTAGGAAAAGAGGACATACATAACATGATTAAACAAACCATTCTTTTGACCATACCTTCCAATTTCAATCATTACACACTGAAGGCTATCTAAAGGGAAACTACTCAACTGTCATAACATCTGTATCACTTCAAAAATCCATTGCAGATGCTATGAAATTTTGGGTAGATTCCCTTCAAAAAAGATTGAAACCTCTGGCACTAGATACATGGACTTTAACCTGGATTAATTATTCACACACTTTCGGTTTATGTTATAACATGAATGTTTAATTGAATTGCCTAAAATGCTCATGAACTGGGACAACACATTTTTTCCCCTTAAGAACAAAAAATACAATTGTATGAAGCACTTCACTGTTTTTTTCACTCTTAGAACCAATTGCCTTAACTAGCTATATGTCAGGCCTGAACAGGTTTTACACTTCCCATCCCTAAATAATAAGTGTTTCCACCCCAAAGCCCCTGAAATCAAGTCACATGACTCTAAGGATAAAGAGACTATGATAAATGTAATTGTGAAAAAAATAAAAGGTCAGAGAAACATAATAGTAATTGCATGGGGCTACTTTCAGAAGAAAATGTAAAAAAAAAAAAAAACTCTTAAGGTCATTTAAGGGGTTTCCACCCGTACTTATGCAAGTCAATACTCCCAAGTATTCTGTCCATGTAAGAGAGGGATGCAAAGCCAGAGATGGCAGTCGTTTGCTCTTTATATCCTGCAAAACAAGCATATTCGCTACTGGCAGGCTATTGAACCAGTTCTGTTTGGTATTTAACAACAATGACATCTCAAACTCATTCAGAGTCAATAAAGGTATCTGAATGGAAAACATTTAGAACGAATATGCTTCTCGAGTGACAAGCGTGTCCCTTTTGTAACGAATCTATTTATACCCTCTCTTTTCCAACAGACGATTTTAATATCAGTTTTAATGTTGCCAAACTGGGCAGGTGAATCCATCTGCACTAGTGAGGCAGTGGTTAGAGCATTTAAGTAGAGGTTTGTGAATTTGTTTGGTATTGTGTCATCTTAATATGCCCTCCCTTACTCAAATAGGAATATACCAAATAGGTCTAATGTATATGTGATCGTGGTGCTCATGTGAAAGCTAAGGGATCAGCCAAACTGTTAACATTGTGTTCTCACTCTCACACACACACACACATCACACAGGTCCTCTGTACATTCTAGCTAAACTACGCTGTCTTCCTAGTCGCTGTGAAATTTAACATCAGTCTAAGTACAATAGAATGATGACAATTTGGATTAAGATATTTGACTGAGGCTTGCTCCTTTGTTGAACCACGAATTTAATAAAACTGTACCTGATCTGAAGTACTTGGTTTTACAAAAGTCTGTACACAAAAAAAAAAAAAAAAAGTTTATTTTCACAAGGCACAGTCATTTGACTTCGGAGAATGTCTGACCCGACACAATGGTCAAACAGTATTTTATCTATAAAAGTGACAGCTGATGTAATTCTGAGCACATCGGGGGGGAAAAAACAAAACAATTAAACCGAGAGGAGCTCAGAATCAAAACTTCCATGGCCTTGTAAACGTCTACATTCTGTACATAGAGATATTTAACATTATGAGGGGGAAGATAACTGCGAAACTACAATATCAACTACAATATCAAATTGATGTTGCAGTAATAATTAGATTTATCCCTTTCCTCCAGTTACTTTTGTCATGTAGGACCAAAACTGACACACACACACACATTTTCACATCCAAACATGCGTGCATACACTTGTGAGGTGGGGGCTATCGATATGGGGACTCAGATGTGTGTTGGTGAGGGTAATCAGGTCGGCGTAGGAGGGGCTCCTTGTGTGTTGAAGTTGGCTCATACACTCTTGGTGAAGCAGTGGTGCCTGGGGCGGCCATCTGTTGCACATCCATTGGGCCTGGAGGCATCATGGGCATCGCAGGGGGTGGTGGTGGCGGCGGATAGCTGTACTGGTACTGCTGATATTGCTGATACTGCTGGTATTGTTGGTATTGTTGGTACTGCTGGTACTGTTGGTAGTACTCTGCATAGCACCTGGTATGGAGAAGGGAACGTTTAGATGTGCTTTGTTGACAAAACAATAAATAACGTATTACATATATATGTATGTGTGTGTGTGTGTATATATTAGGATACATATAAAAGTAAGATGTATATACATTTTTGTATATAATATTTCAATATAATTTCTAATACTGTATACATTAGGATAAATATCAAAAAAAATATTTATATTTAAAATATTTACTAGAGATTATTTATGTTGCCAAACATTTAGCATGCCTTTACCTTGCAATTGGGTCGCCATTTTTAACTGCAGGTAGTTCTGGACCACCAGGAGGTGTTGGGAGCAGGGCCCGTCGTTTGGGTCGTGTCTGGGAGAATGGCTGGGGAACTGGATCAGGCAGTAATGGGGTCGAACGTCGTACCGGACTTCGGTCTCGGTCAGATTTGGTCACTGCCTGCTGTTCGGCCAGCACTTGTTGTCCCTGCTCAAAGAATCGGGCCCGAGCAGCTTCAAAGACGGCTTGGGGGTCAGGCTCTGTGCCTCCCATGGTCCCATAAGCTGGACTGGCACTGTACAGAGAGGAATTTGCTCCATAGGCTGGGTTAACAGCGGCAGCGCCCGGCGGTGCTTCTCTTTCGTTGGGGTAGCCGTCCCCAGCTTGGCTTGTCGATGTGTTCAGCACCTGGTCTGCGACAGCACTGTAGACTTGACTCGCCAGGGCACCATAGAACGCAGCACTGACAGGTTTGCCATCAACCCTGGAAGTGGTCAAGTCTTTCAGAGCTGCAAACGTTGGGTCAGTGCTCGCAGTGTTGTAGAAAGAGTTGTGGACACTCTGCTGCACCTGAAGGGGAAGTCCGGCAGCAGCCGCAGCAGCCGCAGCCAAGACAGCAGCCTGACTCTGGTGGTGCTCCATTGAAGGCCTGTTGATCGGACATTCTCCTGCAAAGTGGCCATGTGCACCGCAACTGGCACACGGGACCTTGTTTGTGGTCTGCTGTACCTTTGAGAGCTCCACTGCAAGTGGACGCCCCATAAATGAGGTCCCGTGAAGACCCTCAATGGCTTGTTCTGCATCCTCTTTACGCTCCATGTGCACAAAGGCGTAGCCTATTAATGAGGAGGGCTTTGCTGCAAGAAAACGTCATAACGTTATATAACGTCAAGAAATATGCACTAATACAAAGCAGGTGCATTATACACATACTTACTCTTTACTTTATCACAATCGAGAACTTTGCCGTAAGCAGAGAAGAGATCATACAGGTCTTCAACTGTACAGGAAGCGCATAGGTTCCCCACAAATACTTTGGTGGAATTGAGAGGCCTCCCTTTGGATTCCTCAACTACAAGGCTCCGGCCACGGTACTCTCGACCATTCAGATCACGGATAGCACGGTCAGCAGCCCCTTCTCCCTGCAGATGGACAAAGGCAAACTGCCTCAGTACAGTTATGTGCACCACTTCTCCATATGGGGCAAAAAGTGCTATTAGGTCATCTTGTGTGGTTTCCAAATCCAGATTCCCAACAAAGAGCTTCACTGCGTTGCTGTCGTCCATTGCACCCCAGAATACCTAGAAATAGGGAACAAACCTTATTTCTTTCTTTTTGGCGGCAAGACCCAATTCATTCTAAAACTAAAGGTGGGCTTAAACATGAGTTGAATTGGTTGAGCTTAATAAAGAGCAATGAGAGACCTCAATTCGAATTACACGCGCACGTTTTACAGTTTCGTTGAATATAATGGGGCTGTTCAAACAGAACAGCCACGCAGCTGCTTTTCTTTTCTTTTTTATATGTAAACCGGTGTTAGAAACAGACGCGTTTAATCGTTGCTCTCGCGTTTGACACGGCGTTTTACAAACGTGGTGCACATATCAAGTGGTTTTTTTTTTAATCCACTACACTTTTGCGAGTTTTTAAACGCAAAAAAAGTGTTCCGTGTGAATGTGCGACATATTTTAGTTCGTCGCGCCACTCTTATTGTAAATGGAGTGATAGACACAAGCAAAAAAAGAAAAAATCTAAAACCATTATAGTTAAACAGACCCCAATAGTAGCCCGCCAGATCCGGGGACGCGCTGAAAATCTGGATGCGCCGTCGTTTCTAGAAAGCGCTGATCTCACCGAGTTTTGCTAATGACAACTGGCGGTGATTTACACGCATACTGTTAGCCAGCTGACTTTGAACATCTTGCTCGAAACTTTCGCACCTGTATAGCCCCATAATACGCACTATTTGCGTTCATATAAGCCTCGAAGGTACTAAAATCATATAATTAGCACACGCGTAGTTTGCTAGCCACGCGCTAGCTTGTTAGCAACCATAAACAGGAAATACAAAAATGATCGCTGATCTTACTCACTGTTTAAAAAAATTATGAGAATGGGTAAAACAAATTACGACCAAACGCTAACGAACTGATTCAAAGCACAAATGTATCAAAACGACAAAAGTGTTTTGTCTACCCTCTTACCTAACGCGGCGGAGACACTTCATATCCGTTTCCCGACTGTTTGATGGTGTTCTTCTCGTCTAGTCCGTGTGACTACAAATGCTAGATGGAAGGATCCGGACGTTGTCATTATTATAAAGTATGTCATAGGGAAAGTTTACAATTTCTTAGGGAAGAATGTTGCTTTTCAAATATTGTTTTTCGAAATACTTCACGGGATACACCCAGAGAGACATAATAAGTAATTTAGGAGTTGAGGATTCAGGTTTGAGTTAAGTCAAGTCATTTAAACATAGGCTATAAATTTTTTTACTTGAATATGATATATTGTGACATTTGATATACATAATGTGAAATCACACACGCGCAACACACAAAATTACATTTAAAAATATATATATTTTGGAAAATATTTTATATAAATATATATATATATATTTCATATAAATATATATTTTTCTTTTTCTCATATTCGTGTATGTTGTTAAGTGTCACAGCAACGCATGCGCGTAACCAGGTGTGAAACCGTATGAGAACCCTCGCCTGGAAAACACACTTGTGGGAAGACGAAACATGAATCAGAGTTTCATACTGACTCCTGCAGGCATCTTCTCAAACGTGTTGGAAGAAGGGGAAATAACAAGCAACATTCACCCCCTAATTATATATTTCTGGACTTTCCACATTTCCAAAAGTAATTCCGAGCATTTCATGGATCTGACACTTTGGGAAAAGCCACGAAGTAGTGTAGTGTGTTCTTTTTGAATAACAGCGCCTGGGAAACAGAGGTAAGTGACTCTTCTTCTTCTTCATGGCTTGTAAACATAGTCATGTGTTTGGTTATGACTATGTTTTAGTGCCATGTGGCATTCACAGTAGTAATACATTAACCTTCTTCTAAGAGAGATTGAGGAAGTTTGCGCCCAGTCACAAGGCGTGAGTAAGATGTAGATTTTAGGATTTCTTTTTCTCATTTTTTTTAAATAATGAAGTTTGTAGGAAGCGTTTAATGACTTTTCTCAGATGATACATTATTGAACGAATTTCAAGAGACACGTGACAACGCGAATTGTCAAGATTTATCTATCGTATTCTCTCTCTACACCTAACCTACTGTTATTATTAATAGGCTACTAATGTTATTGACTATTGTTATTATTATTATTATCATCATCATTGCGGAATTATTAGTGAATTACTATTTGTGAATGATATTATTCTGGCCATACCGTTTTCTAGTTTTCGAATCCCGGATACGACTGCGCCTCATTAAATAAATAGCTTAAATAGCTATATATAGATATTGATTTTTTAAAGATATATATGCACTGTAATTCCATTTAGCTCTGTAATACTGTTACAGCTCATGAAAATATCTTGCCCAGGCAGCGATTTAAAAAAAAATCAGCCTATAGTACAAAACAGAGATAATAGCTGCTCTTTCCTAGTGCATATTTAAAGGCTTTCTTCTCACCAGTCTGGACTTGATCTGCTCATACCGAGAGACTCCAGTAAATGAGGCAGCACTGCATCAGTTATATCAGAGCTTAGATGGACAGGACTGCAGTTTACACCCTGTAGTTTTCACGCCCTTGTTTATTCATTTAAACCCGTATAATTGGGATGGTCAACTACAAATAAGAATGTTCAAGTCAGTGGCGGACCCCCAAAAAATTTAATAGGGGTGGCCAGAGGAGGCCACAGCAAATCTTGGCCAAATAAATATTAGAGTAATGTTATACGTATTTACTTTTGTTTCTTAATATGATTTTAATTAGCAACTAATTACTCTTTAAATGGTGTAGTTATTTTCCTTAAAAATAATTACACATCAGCAAATATATGCGCAAACAAAACAAATTAGGCTATTTAAATATGTAATAATATTTAGTTTACAAGATCGCCGGCGGCCTCAGATCATTGTTGTTTCACATTCACAGCACGTTAAAACGTCTCACTCTTACTTGATCTGGGTAAACTGTGTGTCATTAGAAAGATTCAAGGCTCCAGCTTCGATATTTGACCACTTTTTATGATAAAACTCGGTTGCAGTGAAAGTAATTTCTTAATTTATGTCAGGAGTGCACAATAATACTTCGGTAATGTATATTTTGAATAGAATAATAACAAACATTCATATTCAGTCACATCTGCTGCGGTTTATTTGTGCTCACATAGCTTCACTGAACCGCTTATAGTCCAAAAGTGCGCATATACTTGGAGCAATACTGATGTGTTTACACAAGTTTACTTAATATTTCTTCAGACAGAATCATAAAGCTCATAACCCGCCCTGTCTCTTCCGACCGCATTGTGTCCACAGGAAACCCAGAGAAACGTTTCTGCACACGAATATGAAGCTAATAAACACACGATTAGGACAGTATATAATTGGTATGTCATTTACATGAGATTTGGGGTATTTTCATAACAATAAAGAATGTTTAAATGAGAAGGGCAGTGAAACAGCTACTCTGGTGGCGCCAATCTACAATCTTTTTGGTGGCTTTTTAATTTTCTTTCACTTCATGAACTATTGTGAATTTACATTATGCATTTAAATTATTACCCACTGCAAAAATCACACTAGGGGTGGCCAGAGTTTATACAGTGTCCCTCGGTTCAAGGTGATGAATATATATATATAAAGGAAAAAGGCATGATCTCTTATTATTTCTTTCGTTGTTATGTGACAAAATATATTTATTTGAAATATCCCACATTTAGATTTTTTATGAAAAGGCACGTTTTGTTCAGGTCAAATAAGAGTAACCTTAAAAATATGTTGATATGACGTTGATGATATTTGCAAAACATTTTTTTTTTTTTTAAATACTAATTAAGTTGTGTACAGTACACTCATATTCAAAGTGCAAGTATTTAGTGTTTACACCACTAAATTAAAGATTTATCCTTTTTATAATTTTATTTATTATTGACCCATAAGTGAAGTGACTTATTATTAAATCAAATATATTATTATTATCAAAGACACATCTCGGAATTAAATCTGAATAAAGTTTCATAGGCAGCTACTCATGAATCTACAACATTCAGGGGGATTTTTTTTTTTCAAGGAACCAAATGGTCCCTTGAGAGGAAAGTTTTAATATAGAACTTTATTAATATAGTTTTTACACTTAAGTACATATGTTCTTTATGTTCCAAGTAACATCAAAATAATAAGTTATAATATAATATATAATAATACGTTTTTTTTACTTCTCAGTTGAGCTTAGTTTGGAGCATGAAGTTTTGGGAAAAGTATCTGGCCTTTCCTAAATTTTAACAGTGGAGGCGTGTGTGGCCGTGGGTAGGAATGCTCAGTGGAATATGTAAGCCTATGTTGCCATAGCAGCCACTGGCTCTTGCCAAAAAGTATTCCATACTGGCCCACACAGAGTCAACCTGCTACCAACCTTACTCAACTCGTGAACAATTTACTTAAGTGTCAGCTTGAGAGACTAGAGTGTTCATTATATAAGATGCATCAGTGAAGTTTTGAAATAATGCATTCACTTTCACATATTTTATTATCATTATTATTATTTTTAACGGAATAGGACAGATTCATGTAAAAATAAAACACCTTTATTACATACTTCTTGAAAATGTAATCTCAGTTCCTCTTCACTTCCCATACAGTTTGGTATAAATGATGCTTCTGTTATGTCGTCTTTAAGAACAATGCAAGTGTTTTTTGAATGGTCTGTGTGAATGCAGAACAAAAACAGCAGAGATGTGCTATTAGTCAGACTGTGACACATGGTTCTCACATGGCCAGGAGAAAGACAGAATCAGCGAGGGAGTTTCCCTTGGCCATTGAAGAGCAACGGTCAGAAGGAATAAGTAGGCACATGATTGTGTTGGAAATAGCAATTCTAGGAAAACGGTGACAAAACTTTAGAGAAAAACATAGATGTGTACATGAATAATTTACTGTAAGACAGAGGACTCAGTTACTGACTTAAAGACATCCTCCTGAACTGGTCAGAACTTCCTTTTTTTCGTCAAGTGCAAACACGAACACCACAAAGAAGAGAAACAGAGATACGTTGCCAAAGGAGTTGAAATCTCACTGTCGTTCTGAAGATGCAGGGTGACCCTGTGTACGACTATCCTGACGCTCGGCCCGTGGCGGACAGACGGGCATGTCAACAGAGAGGATCCCTGAGGAGCATCAGTGTACTGGACCGGCTCTTGTTGACACACCCTGTGTGGCTCCAGCTCTCCATTAACTCGGCTCCAGCTCTACATATCCTGCGGCGTGAGCCCCCCGGGGTGAGCAGCACATCCGTACCACCATCTGGTTTGAAAATAGACAGTTACAGCAAACTTTAACAGCATTTTTGGAAACTTTTGTTACCTTGCAGACTTTCCTGGTGCGCAGGTCCAGTACATCGCAGAAAAAAATGCTGTGCGTTCGGCTGGCAGACGACAGCATGCCGTCCTTCTTCAAACAGGTTGTCATCCGAGAAGAGGACTCGGGTGAGTATGAAAGGCACAGTTTTATATAGGAATATATTAATGTAAACAAGCAATACATCTTGAAGAAAAAGCAACAACAATAAATATACATTTTAATATGTAAAAAAAGGCATGTATTATATAAAGATTAGTATAAGTCAGTCGTATTATTCTCTTTTTATTTTCAGTTGAATTTTTTTGTCGGCTTAAGTTATCTAACCAGACTATTTCCCTTTTATCAACAGCCTTCTCTTTGGAAAGCTCAGCTATCAGTTTCCCAGACCTGTGCAGACTCATTGCTTTCTACTGTGTTAGTCGGTATGGATTAGTATTTACTATTTTGTACCTACAACAACAGCATGGCACTCCCCAAATATGACATTTCTATTCCATGATTCTCATATATCTGTAGGGATGTTCTTCCTTTCACTCTGGAGCTGCCTGAAGCAATTGCTAAGGCTTCTTCACACAAACAGTTGGAGTCGATCTCTCATATGGGTGTGGGTAGGTACAACATTCAGAGTCTGTTA